AGTGCAGTGCACAACACAACACAGCTGTGCTTCTTTGAGGTGTTCACCAAATGACCCAAAGAGTGACTTCAGCATAGGAGGGTTAATAGTAAATTTGGACTACCTGAATTTAATGGAATTATTTTTGATTAATACTGGTAGGCATTAATAACGAGGGTAACATTAACTAAATGCGACTTTAAGTTACCGTGTCACTGTGATACTAACTTCCAAGTCAGTAACTATTGTAATCAGAGAGTTACAATCTCCGCCTTCCACTTACCCATGGTCATTGCATGATGCAGTAAAATCCACTTGCATTGTAACTGAACTGTGCTGCTGTTAGTCGTTTGCAAGGTCAGTAATGTAACTTTAATAGAAGGCTTCTGTTGTCTTAAAAATTGACATACCTGTATGTATGTGAAACCATTTCAGAGTGTCCTGTTTGATATACTTTACCAGTATCTTGCATGAAAATGCGAAGTTTATGACCTATTGGAATGCAGATTTTAACATTTCTGGTACCGTTGTAAAAGGAAAGAGGATTTCCCTCTGCAAAACTCTGTAGATTGAAGCCATGAAATGCGATGGACTTTACACAGAAATACAGTAAAGTCTGAAATACTGGTTGTGCAGTGTTTTTAGTGGGTGGTATCCAATATTAGCAAATCAGTGGGTTTATTTTCAGTGTTGCTTCAGCTGTGTGATTGTAGTGATAGACTTGGCTGAGTGTGATCTGCTGTGCCCATGTTCTTTGAATGTAATTGTATCCACATACTGCAGTGCGACTTCCGTTTTGAATTTACAAGTATTCTACCACTAGTTAATGGAAAACAAAAATGGCCAATACCCTTTCTCTTTCATTTGTAATCCTGTCCCTTAATGCCAAGACATATTTCAATTTCAACTTTCAGCTGTATTTCAACAGCGCAGATTTTTGCAATGAGCCAGATTGTTAGGGAGCTGTAGAAAGAAACATTCTACAGGTGTTCTAGAGTAGCAATGCATTTGTAACAGGTCATCAACTTACATTCAATTTCTGTCCCGTGTTGGTATGAATCCAGGCCAGCACGAGCACTACACGGCAGGAACTTCACGAGGCAAGGAAGAAGTTTTCGTCTGGGGCGATGCAGCGACGCACTCAACTGCTGAAGGAGAAACAGGCTCTTGTCAACCAGATGATCGATGTTGGAGAGCAGGTACGTGGGTGCTCTCTCTTACTTGTCCATCAAAAAGGCTGTTCCCAACTAAAGTCTTGGAATAAACCCAGTTTGTAATGGTTGGGTATTGGTTTGGTTACTTGTTTACAGGCATAAAACATTGAGAGTTCTAAGAGATTGTTTTTTTACCAGATATTCAGTACAGGGATGTACGTTCAATTTTTGAGTTCTGTACATGCTCAGTGTATTTAACTTGATTCGAGTGACCAGACACCCTGTGTCATAATTACTTCAACATAATTTGCTTCAACAAAATGTGTGTGACCTGTGTTCAAAGCTTGGAAGTGCTGCTCGGGTGTCAATGGCTATGTCACTAAACAGGGTTTCATTCTTTTCCCTCTTCCCATGTGTGAAGGTTTCTGAAGGGAAGACATCAGTTGCTCTCCTGAAAGCAGCCAGCGAGCAAATGACTGACGAGGCAGAGGACATCATCACTGACATGGGCGGAGTGGAAGCCTCGGAAGAGGACCAGGATATCACTCCAGACCTGCTGCATGCCCTGGAAGTGGAGAACCAGCAGCTGCGGCAGAGAGTAGAGGCCCTTGAGACAGAGGTCCAACAGCTGAGTGTCTCCTGCACTTCCCTGGCCGAGGACAAGGAGAGCTGCGAGAGCCTGATTGTCCGGCTGAACCAGGACCTGGAGGCTGTGCGCCACACCAGGACGGACTTTGAGAGCAGATCCCGCTCGGGTTCTCAGAAGACCCTGGAGTGCTCCGGTGACAGCGAAACAGAGAGTAACGCCAGGCTTCCCCTGGCTGAGGCTGACTTGTTGAGGAAGGAAGAAATGAAACGGATCCAGTATAAACGCCCCGATTCCCCATCCGGCACGAGCACCGATTCGGACAGGACTGCAAGCTCAGGCCGTACCCCGGTGCAGGGCTACTCCACCAGTGAAAGTGAGGTCCCAGGCAGTCAGACAAGTGCTGTGGAAAGCTCAGACAATATCAGCTTTGATGGAGAGTATGATGACTCCATCATGTTTTCTGGGATAAAACAGAGGTTAGTCCATGCAGATCTGATCATCTAAAATATATCATGAGTCTTAAAACCAGCTCTTAAAAGTTAAGGCTCATTTGCAGCTCATCGTAAAATGTGAACATCCATATGCACTTCATTTGAATGAAATCTATGCAATTTCACCAACAGTAAGTTGAGTGCCATTAACATTTGTGCCCAAGTATAAGTTATCCTTCATGCAATGTGTCCAAGCCTTTATGACAAGCTAAATATTCACCAATTTGAGCCTGTTTAAAGAAGTGTGTCTAGTGACCCCCAGGTGAAAACCCATTACCTCCCAAACCACCCTACTAGTTACTCTCCAGACTATCTCAGACTGTCCTGCAAACTCCCACTGTAACCTCCAGTCGTCCATGACTGTTGCTTTCTAACATGCTCCAAAGTGCCCTGCCTGTTTAGCGCTCTGTACCACTCCAAAGTCCCTGCCTGCTGCTCCATAAGGGACCCCAAACCGCCCTGCCTCTTACTCCCTAGACTACCCCTAACTGCCCTGCCCTCCCAGAAGAAAGAAACTCGGGGGAAAACTGCGAACCAAAAATCACAAATCTTGTCAGGCACCAGCACCACATTGTCAGCTTGTTTTGCGTTAATCCGGCAGGTTTCCTGAGGCAGCCCATGTCCTCCAGGAGCAGATTGAGCATTTTGAGCTGATCCGAGCTGACTGGGACATGGAGAAGCAAGCCCTGGAGGAGGTGGTGGTGAGAATGAGGGAGCAGCTGAAGGAGAAAGACATTGAACTGCAGAGCCTGACTGCCAAGCAGGTAGATATATGCGTGACTAGAGACTGGTGATCAACTGCCACAAAGAAGTTTTCTCGAGAAGTTGGATAAAATGTTAAATCCAGGGAACAGTTTGTCCTCAGTAGATTGTGTCATATATGAATCATGCCAACCGGAAAACTGCTGGGTAATCTAGACATTTTTAAAGGTGCACTTTATTTGGCTTACAATCAAAAGTATTGGGTCTAAAATTTTTAAGCCATCCATATTTTAGAGGCACCAGAGAAGAGAACTGTTCACTTAAAATTGATGCTATTTGATTACAAGACCCAGTTTTGTGAACAGATGTTACATGATGTATAATGGCAGAATTGAGATCATGAATTAAATCTCTAGGTAGAAACAAAACATTGTTTCTCTTCCTGTCTCCAAGGGATTGAGGGAGATTGAAACCCAGCAGATGGATCAGTTAGAAGAGGACCTTGAGACATTACAAGACACTGTGGAGAAGATGGAAGAGGAGCATACCCAAATGGAGCAAGAAAACAGTTCACTTATCCAAGAGAAAGTAAGGATCTCTTTACTCTGGCAGTCTACAGATCTATAACAATAAATAAATCTATAAAGATGAAAATTGATTGTCAGGTACAACATTTGTACAGGAATGCCTTTTACAATGCATAAATGGGGTGCATTTTGGTGAAATTGCGTGTAGTGATGTTTGGTGAAAGCATGTCATCCCTCTCATGTTATTTTATTTCTGTTGGCTCTGCCAGGAAGCTTTGAAGAAAGAACTAAATGAACTCCAAAAAGAAAAGAAGACCATACAAGAAGCATCTGAGGCTCTGCAACTAGAAGTGCAGTCACTGAAGAGTGAGTTACGGCATGCAAAGGCTATAGCGGCAAACCTCAATCAGGAGGTGGAGGGCTTGCGTCAGCTGAGGGAATCATCGTCCCAAGAGGTGGAATCCATAAAGGCAGAGCTGAAGCAGGTACAGGCTGCAGCCAAGGGCTATGCCAAGCAAGCCGAGGAGCGGGAGGAGGCACTGCATCTCCAGAAAGAGGCCTCCCTCAGAGAGGATAGCGACAGAGATCGTCTGGAAGCTGACCTGCTCCTCCTGAATCAGCAGCACCAGCAGGCCTTGGATCAGATCATTAAGTCAAGAGATGAGATCAGAGAGAAGGCAGATGGATTGGAAGTCGAGAAGATGGAGCTACTTAGTAAATTGAATGACAGCCAAGTAGGTCTAACAGAGCTTGATGCCTCAAGGAATAGAGATAAAGAAGACATAAAGGAGCTGAGAGAAGAACTTGACAAAAGGAACTCTAAGTTGTCAGACCTGTCAAAACAGAGAGAAGATGTAGAGGAGGAGATCTTAAATCTTAGGGATGAACTTGAAGACATGGGAAGCATCAAGAAGAAATTGGAGGACACCAACATGGAGCTTGTTTTACGAGCAAATGAATCTAAGACAACTTTAGAAAGACTTGAAAAGGAACTAATGCAGCTAAAACAGCACAGCCAAAGGATGGTCAGTCTTGAAGTCAAAGAACAGTTGGATAGCAGTGTTTCAGAACTTGAAAGCCAGTTACAGTTTGCAGTGTCATCAAGTGAGGAAAGGAAATCAACCATACAACACCTCGAAAGTCGTATCTGTGAACTGGAGGACGAAGTAAAAAATTTAACTGAGAGCAAAAGGACAATTGATGTGGCATTTGAAGGTAGCAAAGCAAAGTTGGAGGTGGAGGTTGCATCTTCTGAGCAAAAAGCTGAGCTCCTGTTAAGCTATGAGGATGAAATTCACAGCTTGAGGAGGGAGAAAGAGGGCCTTCTGCGGCAACTGCAGCAAAACAAGCACGAGCACGAAAGTACATTGCAAGAGCTGTCACAGTCCAGAGAGTTGGACACCAGTGCATTGCAGTCAGAGCACGAGAAGCTCATCCAGCTGAAGAATGCCAAAGAAACGGAGGTGGTGAAGCTGAAGAGGGAGTATGACGAGCTGCAAGCTGATTTGTCTGGAACCAAAGACATGCTGAACTCCACTCTGGAGGGCCACCAGCAACTTGCCGAAATACTAAAAAACAAGGATGATGACATCAAGAACCTCGCCGAGGAGAACTCCTACTTTTTCAAAGCACTGGAGGAAAGCAAAACTAAAGTGAAACAGTTTGAGCAAATACGTGATAAACTGCAGGAGACGGAGGACCAGTTAGAAGACACCAAAGCTAAGAATGAGGCCCTTTCAAGGGAAATTCAGAGGCTGCAGCAGGACTTGAAGGATCAACTGGAGCGCAGTGATGTCGAGACCAAGACCTTAGAGGTCATCACAGAGCTGGAGGGCGAAGTGCGTGACCTCCGGGAGGTGTTGGAAGGGAAAGAGGAAGAAGCTGAGAACCTTCAGAGAATCATTGAGGAGAAGCAGTCAGCTATTGTGAAATGGGAAGAAAAATCTGGAAATCAGAGGAGGGAGTATGAGGAATCCCAGACGAAGATTTTGGGTTTGGAGTCAGAAATCAGTTCTCTTAAAGGGGACTTTCTTGTAACTGCTCAAAACCTTGAAAGCATCAGTGAGGACCTACAGAAGTCACAAGAGAAACTTTCCCATGAACGGGCTGAAAGACAAACTGTATCAGATTCTCAGAGTGTATTGTTCATAGAAAAAGACAATCAAATCATCGAGCTTAACGAAAGGCTTTCTAGTGTAAAAGACCAGATGAAAGACCAGGAAGTACAACATGTAAAGGAACTTCACGAAAGGAACACAGAAGTATCTCTCTTGAAGGATAAACTTGAGAAACTCAGACAGGAGCTGGACTCCAGACAGAAGAATGTAAGCGAAATGAAGGTTGAACACAGCCTTGCACTGAAGCAGAAAGAGGATGAACTGTCTCAGCTGACTGATAGACTGGAGCAGCTAACAAGAGATGCCAACCTGCAGAAGGCTGCAGCACCACAGGAGGATAGAGAAAATGGGATCATTCAGGAAGAGGTCCTCATTAAGAGAGTGCCCGGTCTTCACAATGCTAACACTGAACCATTGCAATCCAGACCTGTTGGTCAGATGTCTGAAACAATCGTAGAGTCTTCCCTGAGTGACAACGAGAAGCACCTGGAAAATGCCTTGCAGGAAAAAGAGAAAGAAATTGTTCTTCTGAAAGAGAGCAATCGGTCACTGACTGGTCTCCTTGAGGATAAGTCCCACACAGCAATGGGCAACGTGATACTGGTAGATCTGCATAAACTTCAGATGCAGGTGCGCACCTATGAGTCGGAACGCAGCCAAATGATGAGTGTCCTCAATGAGAAGACGAGGGAGTGCAGCAACCTCAAGAATGAAGTCCACCGGCTGGTCAAGGTCATCTCCGCCCAGAAAACAGCCCTGGAGAAGGCGCAGGAGGACAACAAGGAAATCCAGCGGCACCTCGATACGCCACAGAACGACATGCAAAAGCAGGCCCTCCAGAACCTCTCCCGCCTCATCCAGGATAAGGACCTGGAAATTGAGGCCTTGAAGCAGAAGAACGACTCTTTGCTGCAGGTGCTGCAGACGGCCGAGCCGAACAGCAGCTCGGACATCTCCAAGGTGCTCGGCGACAGTGAGCAGCTGCAGAAAGAGAACAAGATGCTGAAAGAAGAGCGGGACCAGCTCGTGGTCAGTATCCACCAGAAGCATCATGAGAGCCTGACCTACTACGAGGAGGTGCAGAGGCTGGTTGGTGTCGTCAATGAAGAGACACACAAACAGGCAGAACTCCAGCAACGGTACAACTCTGTTTATGCAGACTTGGACGACAAGGAGAAATCCTTGAGTCAGCTTGCATTAGACATTGAACAGAGAGACTCATCCCTTGCCAATCTTCAAAAGCAGCTTGAAAAAAAGGACCAGTCTATATTAGATCTAGAAAGCCAGCTGTCTGACATGAATGAAAGTGTGGTGAAACAAAGTGAAGAACTCACTGAATTAGCAAATGTGTCACAGGTGCAAGAGGAGAATGACCACTTAAGTGCCTTATTAAGAACCAAAGATGAGGAAATTTCGGACCTCAGGGCAAGCATTCAGGCACAGAGTGAGAGGGTCCAGCTTCCTGGCATTTCAGCTGCTAGTGAAGGCCTCATTAGGGCAGAGGTGGCTACTGTGCAGTCAGCACCACCCCCCAATGGAGAAACACTTGCCAGGAAGGAAGCTGAGATCGTCCAACTCAATGAACAGCTTGAGCATCAAACCAAGACCCTGGCCAAAAGAGACAGTGCAATCAGAATAAAGCAGGAGGAACTGCAGCACAGAGTGGAAGAGCTGGCTGCCCTGCGGCAGGAGGTGGATGTCCAAAACCAGGCTATCCTGGAGCGAGACGCGGCCCTGCAGCTCAAAAACCACCAGCTGCAGACCCTCACCAGCGAGTCCAAATCCAAGGATGTGGAGCTGCACGGTCTGCGGAGCCAGAACCAGACGTTAAGTGTGCAGCTCCAGGGCTTCCAGGCCGAGAACGAGGGCTTGAAGAAGGACAACCAGGCCTTGCAGCACGCTGTGCACAACAAGGATGGGGAGGGGAGGGCCCTGCAGGACACTTGCAACCGGCTGGCTGCCCAGGTCCGGGAGAAGGAGTTCGAGATTGGCGCGCTGAAGGAGAAGAACCAGACTCTGACCACACTGGTGCAGCAGAGGGAGGAAGGGCAGTCAGGGGAGCTTCAGAGGCTACTGCGGGAGACCGAGGCCATGCAGAAGCAGGCCCAGATGTTCCAGCAGGAGAGAGACCAGGCCCTCCTGGCATTGCAGCGCCATCAAGCAGACCAAGAGGCTCTACAGACTGAGGTATGGTATTCATTGTGCTGCCTTTTAGTCAAGATTTGTTTGTGAGATTTTTTAGTTTTTGGTCGTGTGTTGTGCTTTCTAGACAACAATGCTTGTGGCATCAACATGAACTCTTTATTTCAAATTAAATATAAAACATGGACATACTTACCCTCGTGATTGATGTACCAGGCCACATTAAAGGCTGTCAGTCAAACATGGATTTTCAAAGTTCTTTATCATATTTTGTGCCTCCTGCAGGTCCGCAGCAGTCGAGAGAGAGAGCAGAAGCTAGTAGGGGAGCTGGACCGCCTGCGGAGCCACCTGCTGCAGGTGGAGGAAGGCTACACTCGGGAGGCCCTGCAGGGGGAGGAGAGAGAGAAGGAACTGAGGAATCGTCTGATTGCGGCTGAGGAGGCTGCACGCACGAGCTCATCGGCTGTGCACAGTGCAAGGTAGACAACAAAGTTCAACTCTCTGCCCTCAGCCGCATGCCAGCATTTAACCCCTAACTCCCATTTACACCCTTGCTGGTGGCCTACCTGAACCCTACCAAATCCTCCCCCATGCAGGAAACCAGTACCACATTCTTGGCCTCAAATCTGTACAATTACCGCAGTGACCAGGCTTTTGGTGCCTTACAAATGTCTCTCACACTTCTTAGTTGATTTACACCACATTAGAACAGGTGCACAGGCTGTTTTGTTCCTCTCCAATCTTTGCTCTTTAGGTTTATCTCAGTAATTTTCAAGGGTATGTGTCTGGTAAATCGCAAGTGGCTCTTCAAGAAAGCCCTTGTGCTGCTCAGAGGAGTGAGCATTGAGCAAGTCAGTTTGTGGGAAAGTCTTGGTTTGCCGACCTAATGCATTTCTTGCTGGCACTGAGACTTTTCTCACCCAAAATTGAAAGAATATGCATACAAGGATCGCAAGTGGAAATGATAATGTTGGCCTTCAATCAGCACAAGTGCGTTTACAGTCACAGTTAAAGGCATTTCATTGATGTGAAAAAGTGAACTTGATAATGCTTGTCATCCTGTACTCTTCAGAATACATCCTGCTCTACCGTTTTTCATACAGTGACACTGAAAATTTGATAGCATGTTACTAATAGTAACTTGACAAGCAGTCGCTCAAGAGCCAATCATTCTCATGTTGTGGTCACAGCAAGGAAGCCAGCAGCCAGATAGAGAGTCTCCTGGACCAGCTTCACTCAGTAACCAGCCAGAAGGATCAGGCCTTGCTACAGCTGGGGGAGGCACAGGAGCAAGTCCAACAGTACAGCACCTCATTGGCCAACCTGCAGATGGTACTGGAGCAGTTCACTCAGGGTACGTCAACATTCTGTAACTCAGGAATTTGTAGCCGTGTATGTACATGTACATGCACGTGTGTATAGTCTCTGTTCAAGTTGTTTCTTGTGTGTGATGCCCTGCAAGTCCTCCAGTCCTTGATGGGACTATTCTCCTTAAAGGTGGGAACCATCAGCAAAAATGCCCTGGGGAATCTTTTGAAGACTTCAATGCATGGCTGCACTGTGGTTATGATTACATGATTTCCAACAGGAGGTGTATGATCTTAAGGCTGGTTCATACTTGGTGCGAAAGCAAACACAAATGCAAATTTGGGACTTCAGATCAAATATTTGCACTCTGCATTGACAGAAGTTGAACACATTTCACCTTGAGTAAAACTTTGCTGCAAATCCGTTGTAAAGTCAACTTTGCTTCACTTTCACCTTTGCCCTTTAAGCTGATTCTCAAGAAGCCTCTCATTCTTTTAGGGACAACAGTTGGAGGAAGTGGTTGAGTATTCACGGCAGATTCTACACAGTTCTCATGACAGCAGTGATTTTCAGCACATGCTTTGGCAGTTTGGATATTAAAACACCCATCAATCAAAATATCCCTCAAACTGAACTCATAAAATGCCCAACCCCCCACCCTGGCAATGTTTCAAAACTAGCTTCTACAGTTGAGGAGAAACTTGTGTGCATTTTATTGTTGTGTTTTTTCTTAATCTGGTTGACTGGATAACTTGTTTTTGTTGGAAGTGTTGTCCTGGTTAGATAGAATTAATCTCTTAATAGTCAAGTATTCTCATTTTAGTACTGGATTCTACCCCTCTCTACCCCTAATTCAGTTCAAGTATTGCATACTCACTGCCTTGAGAACTTGCGGAAAACAAAATTTGCAAGCTGGCTACTATTAAACTGGAATCCCCAACCTCCTGTCTGCTTGCACAGACTTCCTGACCGATTGACAACTGGGATCAGCTGGCTGTGACAGACCCAGTGGAGCAAGGGGTACCACAGTCACTAACTGTTCAGGGATTTTTTTCCAAATGTTTTTGCATTTGGCCTACAGAGAAAGAGGCTGCCGTTGCTGCTGACGTGGAGCGATACAAAGTGAGAGCAGAGGAGAAGAGCAAGGTCTCGGAGCAGCTGTTCAAACAAACGGTGGAGCTTCAGGTGAGTTTTTCATTTTCGGTTTTTTTTTGCATCAGGTGACTGGATGCCACAAATTGAGTCTTAAGCACATTTTTCCCTTGTTTTTGGAATGTAGTACAAAGAGTTGGAACTTCTGCACTTTTGATTTGTCAATTAGTTTGGCTTCATAGAGGATAAAGACTATTTGTGTGAAAATGCTCACCGTTTCTTCTGATTTCCCTTCTATATTGAAAACAGGTCTAATGACTTTAAACCCATGTTGTTAGGTTGGGTCCCACATCACATCTTTATCCTAACAGCAGATACCCTTCAAAATCCACAGCATTTGCCTCACTATTCTGGAAGGCTGTGTATTCAGTGTTCAGCACAGGGGAGAACTGTATCATTTGGGATTTGTCCATTGAGGAATTTATCCAACAGACATGGTTGGAGATTTCTTATCACAGGGGGGAAGGGTTAATGATTTCTGAAAGCTCAGCACAGCCTCCGTCCCAGGTGAGATCATGACGCCAGCAAATGCAGAGTTGGTGGTGTAGGCTGAGGGTGTCAGGCATGCAACTCTTCCGCAGATCCACAGATCTCCGCGTTTTTAAAAAAATCATACCACAAAAAATTCCACCTTAGGCTTTGTCTGCTTTTTGGCTGCTTGCTTGTGCCTTGGATTGCAGAGTGGCGGACGCGCTGAGGCTGTGCCGCCACTCGGCAGAAACTCGTACAATCGTGTTTCCACAAAGAAAAAAAAAGACAAAAAATATCATCTGGTTCTCTGCTAGTGCATGAGAGGAAACTGTTAAATGAGCAGGACACCTGACTTTGTTCCATTCGTGATTATCATAGTGCCCTCTATTCTGTTCTGGTCGATAGCCTGGCTCCGTATCTTTTTCTCTATCAACTTCCATGTCGCAACATCACGATACAGACTGCACTTGCTGCCACTCTGTGCAATGTACATGTCGGAAAAACATCTGAGATAATTTTAAAACGTAGAAAAATGACTTCAAAAAGGAAGGACATGGTGACAAGCCATCTCTAGCACTATTCATGACAGACTTTCTTCATGAGCTATTCAATAAAACTGTTGTGGCTAACATTCGCAAGGCCAGAGAAGAATCAGTCAAGCATCTCGGTGAACAAAAAACCTCTGCCAAGCATCCACTTCAACACTCAAAATACACAACAACTAAATGAACAGCACTAAAGGTTGCTGCCAAGGTACCAAGAAAGTCAGACTAACTCACGTGGATGCAATAAATTCTACAAGAAACGTCAATAAAAAAAATTTCAGATATCAAGATGTGTATGTTATATACTTCAGATACAAAAGGTAAAACACGAAATCTTGAAAAGTGTGCATATTTTTGAAATAAAAAATGTTCATCTAAAATTCAATTCAAGTGGTCAGAACTGCCCAGAATTCACCAGGGAGCATCTAGAATTCAAAATTTTATGGGGACCCTATGGTGGGCCTCAGACCCCATGCCATACTGGTATCAGACATGTAGGTTTTCCTCTTTCATTGAAAACAAGAGTTGCATGCCTGGGGTGTGCATATAGTCTGTGACCTGAGAAGTGGGAGGATAATGGTAATCCCCTCAGGTCAAAAAGTGAGGGTGACATATCCCCCACTCCCTGGGGTCTTCACCCATGCCGACAGACATGGTATGTGCAGTCATGCTTGAGGACCATGAACATTGAAAGCCGAAAGTACTATACAAACAGGGGGTCAAATGCTTCAAGTACAGAGTAAAACTCATGAAACAAGGAGATTGTGAGAAGTCTCCGATTCTAAGCTGCAGAATGCCAAAATGTGATATTTGACCTTTTTTCTTGAAAAGGAGCGTCTAGCAGCAACCACCGAGGCACTGGAAGCAGCCTCGAGGCTCAATGAGCAGCTGGATAGGAAAGAGGAGGTGGCTGTGCATCTCAGGGAGGAATGTAAGAACACAGACATACTTTGCTGTTTAGTTCATCAGTTAATACACCATGTAGTCTTGGTGACCTCTCTGGTTTTTTTTTTGGGGGGGGCAGGGCAGTCCTACTGACATTGTGCGGTCTTTGGATGGAAACAAAACCTTGAAATCTAGATTGCCCTTATTTGGGGAGGGATGAGATGTATTGTCAGCGTGAAAGTGAGGTCGTTGGGTGAGTGGTAGTAAAACCTTTTAAGTGAACTAAGTTTTCAATTGAAGTTTGATGTTGTCATACGCCTTGCGTGGACTGAGTGCAATGTTGAGAGTGAGGAGAATTCCATCTTGGTGACGGTTAACTGCGCAGTGTCAGTACAGTGTTCTTAACATCACTGAATTTGCTTTGCTTTCTGTACCTGCAACTTATGTATGCTTCTGTGTACACTTTCACTTTCAGTGGCTAAGAAGGAGGAGCTTCTCCATGAGTATGAGGCACGGTTTAACGAGTTGGGGAGTGCCAACGAGAGCAAAGTGGACAAGTGAGTCAGACTCCGATGCTTGTTAAGTTTGAGCCGTATCCCTGACTCTCCTTACTGCTGTGTGTGATTGAAATTGTGGTTCCAACTATCGTGGCCAGCCCTTCGTCTTAATCTGTCTTGTCAGGCTTACCCCTGCCGACTTCCTTTTGAGTTCCAACCCCTTTAAAGTTGTTTTGTTTAGCTGCTATTTGGATGTTGGACACATTCCACCTGACTGACCCAAATGCCACAATTTGTGTCAGATTTGTTTCTTGAGGGATGGATCGTGGCAGGTCCTCCAAATATAGCTGAGCTAAGTTTGGCTGGGGATTTTTTTTTCGTGTTGAGCCTCTTAGCAGTGGACTCCAAATGGAGGGGTCAGTTGGGGGGGGAGGTGTTTGCTGCCTACCCTTGACCCAATTTTATAGCACTGCATGAGAAACGGAGTTTGTTTTACCAGGGTCTCTGCCAATATCGTGGAGGTTTTTAAGCAGTAGGCACAGCAAAAGGAAGCTTAACCGGGAGGAAGATGTTGCTTAAATCAGTAGCACAGCAATAGAAATTTTTACACATGCGACCAAGTAGCGAAACTAGCACATTCCCATGAAGTAAGTAGTTTTTAAGCTGCAGCAAGATTTGCGCAGCAGTAAACCCAGTTTTTTCCGCTGAAGTGTTAGGCAGTGCTGTGAAGTTGGGCCCACATTAGAAATCAACTCACATTTTCTGTTGGTCCCCTAGGCCCTTGATGAAGAACCTGCTCCTGGGTTACTTCAGCGCCCCGCAGAAGAAACGGCCCGAGATACTCAAGCTCCTTGGCAGTGTGCTGAACTTCAGCTCAGAGGAGCTGCAGAAGGTGATGACACTTGACATGGTCATTGTTAGGGGGACACTGCTTTGTTGCAGAGTTGCAGATGTGACCCACTCCGTGGGAATGAATAACAAGTCACCAGAGTTACAGGTCTTTAAGAGAATCTTCCACCGTGGAAATAAATAGGAACAGTCAACATGTTTCACCTGCGCAATGTTTGTTTTCATCAGGAAATCAAATCGAGTGATACATCAACACAAAAAGCTTGGCTTGCTCTTTCTAATGCTGAATTTTAGTTACACATGTACTGGTGAAATGGCTTGTTTATTTTTTCTATTTAAGTCATTCTGGTAATGACACCAAGGATTCCTCAAAAGCGCCCCAGGCACTGTAGCTCGAAAGCCTGAAGAAACTTGTAGAGAGGAGACAATGAGACAAAGTTACAGTTTTAGTGGTGGGAGGAAAACCCCAGAGGAGTATTCTGGGTAAAACCCACAAAATCAGGCAGGGACTGAAAATCCAATCTACGTGTGGACCGAGCCGGGAATCGAACCCGGTACCACGGAGGTGGAAGGCAAGGAAAGAACCACTACGCCAACCTGACTTATTTTGATGGAGCAGGCTGCAAGTATGCTGTTTTGTTTGTGCACTGAACTGTCTTACAGTCTCTGTCAAAGTCATATGTATTCATGAAAATGATGTACCCTAGTCCAAATTCATGCATGTCACAGTTACTGAGGGTTCATATTTCTCATTGTTGGAGATGGAGGAAAAACCAGAAACATCAGCATATTTTGAGAGTGTTGAACTCTAGAATTCATTACATCCCCACTGACATCCTGGATGCAGGCCTTTCAAACAGATGATAATCCAGCGTTTTTGAAGAGTTTGAATCCAACTGACATCTCATGGCATAATGATCTGGAATCACACTATCCAATAGCTGGTCATTTTCTTTATCCATTAGATTGGAGCAGAGGGAAGTCAAGGGGGCTGGCTGTCCGGCCTCTTGGGGAGGGGAACACCCACCAGCACCCCACCCTCAACACCACGCAAAACGGCTCTGGAAAGTGTGAGTAGACGCTGTTTGAAGCTTCACAGTGTATGCATTCTTTATATATTATACATCGTCTAAGAAATTACCCCTTTGCATTGAAAGGAATTGGAAATTTGTACATGCAGATGTTTAGAGTTACTGCTAACTTTCCTATGCATGAGTTACCTGAGTATTGAGCCATTGAGAAAATCAGAATGAATCAGCAAAGGCAGCATATACCACTGGGCTGGTTTCGACTTGTGTAGTACTCTTCACATACATACCTAATTGCCATTGGCCAGTGTGCACGGTAACAATGCATGGTTTCTGTACACTGATATTTGAGTAATTTTGAGTGAAAAGAGAACATGGAAGGGTTAATGTTCTGTTGCAGAAAAGCAAAGTACATATTGTAACAGGGTATGGCTCCGTCACTTAGAATACTATCAGAGAATTTTCAAGCTGATAGACCTCATTTTAAGCCTGCTTCAATAAGTTGTGTTTAATAATGGGTGAATCATTGTTTCGATTTCTTCCACACAGTCTTTTACGGAGCAGTTTGTGAAGTTCCTGGAGCATGAGTCCACCCCAACTCCCAAGGCACGCCTCCCACTGGAGGAGATGACCCAGGAGAAGCCTCGCAGCCCCCGCGGCCCGGCCTTCAACCCCTTCTCAGCCCCTGTGCCCCAGTTCTCCCCTTTCATCCAGCAGCACCCGGAGACCCCTCGGCCCCAGGGTGAGCCCCACCAGTTCACCAAGCCCGTGCTGGCCCCTAAGTCTGTCCTTCCAGCCGTCCCAACGATTGCTCCGGTCGTCATTCCCGATGCGTCGGGCAGGAGCTCTCCCTCTAGTAAAGGCACACCGGCTGGGTTGAAAGACATTTTACAATCTCAGTAGCTGAGGGCTTTGGAGGGGGGTGTCTGTGGTGGTGTGGGTTTAACCAAAGTAAGACCAGTTCATGTGACCGATCATCTGAATCAAGGGCCGATTTCATGGAGCTTCCAAGTGCAGAAAATATTTGCCAAGCAGACATAGGTTACCAGCCAAAATGTATTATAAAATGTATCACTTGTGGCTGGCTGTCGACTACCTGTGCTTTATAAGAATGCTAACCAGTATTTTGTGATAAGCATAGCCGTGAAATTTGGACCAAATGCAGACTGCAGAGCTGTGTGCAGGGCAGAAAAGAAAAGTGCATTTCAGGGAGAAAGATTCTGGGGACTTCCTGTCCTTGCCTCTCTGTCCTGTCCACCAAAGCCTTTACTCAGAGTGCCTTATGTCCAGAGTATGATGGCTCAGACCACAGACTATCCAACTTCTTCCCCACGTTTGTCAGGCACTGGAGTTACAAACTGAAGGATTGTGATGAAGGAAAGCATTCCATGACTAGGGTCTCTGCCTCCAATGTATGTGACCGTCAAGTCAGTGTTCCAATATAGCTGTCAGTGTCATTTCATTGAGATTTTTGTTTGTGATGGACCTGCTTGTCCCTGAGAATTGTTTTAGGAATTGTTCCAATTTAAAATTTTCTTGAGATGATGGACATCATGGTCCAAGCAAAGAAGACCCACTATGTCGGGCAGATAAAGAGTCCTGAAAATTCCTGTTTGACCTCTGACACATGGCATCAACTCTCTGAAATATCTGCACATGGGTTTATTGCATTACATTCCACATTTATGCTTGTCAGAGAGCTGGGCACACCAGCTCACTGGAAGATATAATCAACACTGCTCGATTCAAAATTGGTCTTAGGTCTAGACTGAGAATGTTGTTTGATGCAACTTGCGGGAGAATGCAGAATAAACCATTCAGTAATTTGAGCTTTATCGGGAGGTTTTACAAGATTGAACTGGGTTTTTGTGGGTTACCTGAGGATATATCCTGGACTTATACCCATGCTTAACTTGGTATTATTTTACAGTATAGTTATCAGGTAACAAAATGGACTCTGAAATATCCAATGGCCTGTGGTACAGTGTGCTGCAGAAGAGCAATGTCTAGGTGCCAAAATGAAAAGGAATAAGCCTGTGCATCTTGAAATTATTGCATTTTGCAGAATGGTGAATGTATAAACGCACAGTATTCATATGCATTATTGAGGGAATACCTCTAATAAACAATGGAGAAAAAATATCTGCAATACGAGATGTGAAGGTCCTGCTGGCAGTGCACTTTCAGTGGTTTTGCTGGTTCTCATGAAAGTATATGGAAGATTTCCTTTGGGAAGTTAATTATTTCATATGGAGGGCCCATAATTCTGTTGCTGTGAACTGAATTCAGTCGGAGACAATCACTTCTGAGGAAGCTGCCATAAAGTCGGTTTTCAAAAAGTATGATCAACTGTACATGTGTACTACAGGCAATATTTAAAAAAGGCTTGGCTGTGTGCTTTGAGAGAAACCAATGTTGCGGCCATTTTGCCTGACGTGAATGATGAGGAAACTGCTGTGGAGCTAGCAATTCACTGAAACATTGCTCTCCCATTTGCAAATTATGTTGGATTGGTTTTTGTTAAATTCAGAGAGCTATGTTCAATTGTTTTGAATTGTATACCATTTTTATTTGACGGTGATCGGGGTTTGTATTGGTTTTCAGAAAGAAACTGTACCAGTTAAAGTTAGAGTGAATGGCCAAGTACTTGAAACGATAGGTTAATTTCAATTGTACTGAGGGTGAGTATTGGCATTCTTTGAAAGTTTAACTTATATTTGATCTGAACCACCAATTTACTTCCAAGTCCTGATTAATTTTCCTTCCTAGCTTATTGTATCAGGGCAGTGCTTTTACAGTTTGCAGCCATCACTTGAATGTAATTTTGCAGAAATGTATTATAAGAGCTATATCTAAAAAGTCTGTACATATTGAAAAATAAATATAACTGTGTTTACACTTTTAAAATTATGCTTTTGTCTTTTGCCCTGCTCTCATGATAATGTGTGAAGTTCCATCAACATTACACAGCTATACTAAGATATAGGAAATAACAACATGGAGGTAGGAAAATAGCCTACAGAATAATAATCTGCCCGGCCATTACTATTTAATACTGTCCCCTCCAAAATTTCACGGCAAGAAACTAATATTTATTCGAGAGCCCCCCCCCCCAAAGAGACAAAAATGGCGTCATCCACTCTCCTTGGTTTAGGGAGTTAGAGGCCGCTATGTAAGAATAAGTGGCGACCGGTCGTACGTGGCCAGGCTACGTCCACGGTATACGGGCTGAACGACCATGACGTCAAGTGTAATACGCGCATGCGCATATAGCTGAGTGGACGTACGGCAACGACTTTACAAAATGGCGACTTTTGAGGGGCACGCGACGAAGCGGCAAAGAACTGAGGTCGGTGGACGCGGCGTGCAATCTGGAACGAGGGTAATTCTAGTCATGTTGACGCTTGAGACTTGAAGATGAATTCTAGTATATTTTGGTTAGCATAGATGTATTATAATGGACCTTAATTATCTCGCAAATGTTACACGAAGACAGTCTCCTTTCTTATCATGTCTGTCTTCCCTGTATTCCCTCGGCCGTGGGATCGTGCTGGGTCGGACCAGGCTTTTTAATGCTATTTAGCGTCAACAAAGGGCCAACAAGTTATTTAAGCACATCCATGAGGCTTATTATCATATTCAATGTAGGTCTGTCATATAGGTTATCTTAAATGATCTTTCAGTTTTGTAATTTGAGCGACAAAGTCGGCCTGCATGCTCGTACATGCCAGCGTGCTGCCTCACCGTCCGCCATCTTGTTTTCGCGTGGACGGCAGAGTATAAAGAAAAATTAAGAATAAGAGTAGGCGTACTAAAGAAAGACACATAAAAGATGCAGGGGTCGAAGTTAACGGTGGTCCAAGGCCAGTAAAAATCATCAGGACCACCAGATCCACCAAACCCGCTGGTCCGGTGGGCCAGTCATGCCAGTGCAAATGAATGGTCTACTCTGTGTTAGTAGGATAAATTCCATTTCACACTGTTTTCTTATTCCCTCGAAACAACGTGGCTTATGGGGCAGTGTGGACATCCGGGAGTTAGTATGATGATCCCATCCAGAATCGTAAAAGAGGAATACTAAAGCTCCACTCAGTAGAGCTAGACTAGGGCCAATGATAAAACTTCATCATTCTTTTGCACGTACCTACTCTCACGCAAAATACAGTCAAACATGAGGGCCTCAGGCTGTCATGATTGTGGAATTCCTCAGACGCCTCTATACCTATAAACATTCAAACATAAATTAAAAAAATATAAAGCTAAACTATTAAGTGGGTATTCAAATTCTATTTAATATCATTTCGTTTTTGTGTGTTACAGGGTTGCAAGACTTAATGTTTAAGGCTCTTATGAGAGTCTTACTGTCTTCTTGTCAAATTGTATGTCATAATTATTGTATTGTTGGTAATAATGTGTATTATTCCTGGGATCCCTACTCCTGGGATCCCTACTCCTGCTTCTTCTTTGGGATCCTATCCACAACCATTATTTGTCCTGTTATATCTTTACTGCATATAATTAGGTGGAAATAAAGAATGAATGAATAAAACCACTTTTAAATCTTAGTTAGGTTAGGGATAAAAGTCACATTTATTTTCCAAGTCAGTGCTCAAGATGTTTGTCTTATCTCTGCATTGTTTCCCTGGCATTATGTACCCCTTGAATTCCTCCCTGGTGAAACATGCACCTTGCCTTTGTCATTCAGTTGAAATCCTGGACACTGCATTCTTTACCCAGTTTTATAGAAATGGGCCAGAATAAGCATTGTTAGCCACACCTGTGCAAATCGCATAAATTAGCCATTACTGGTATTGTACTCTCTGGTTAGTACAGGCATGTACATGTATGGACATGTTTAGTGCTACCCTTTGTGCTGGTGCCTGCTTGTGCCTTCAGTCAACATGGAAGCAATGGAACACTCATGCTATGACTGTCAGATAGTCTGTAGGGCGAGTGTACATTACTCCAACGAATACTGCTCTTCATGCACATACAGTTGTGCTGTGTGTGATGCTGTGAGTACGGGAAGAAAACAACATGCAGTGCATAAGTATTGGTACACGTACCGGGTGTGTCTGCAGGATGAGTGAACACTCTATGTATTTACAAGTACATTACTGTATAGCAATTTCATTCAAGTGAATGCTTTTCTGTCATGTGCCGCATTCATCATGGTTACGGCACATGTGGGTGCACATGTAGCTGTTAAAAAATGAATGGAAGGAAATGTGGAATGAAATGACTGATCCCGATGAGCTCTCCCTCTAACGCGTGTGACCATAATTGTCACCAGGTCCCTTATTTCGCCACTTGCTGTGAAAACCAGTCTGACTTGACAATAGGGTGGCGAAATTGAGGTCCTGGTGACTATACCGCCACGCACGCTAGTCTTATTTCTGTGTAAAGGGAGGGGTTGTTGACAGAAGTGGGGCTTTACTTTATACGTACCAGCACTGTAAGGCACTGTAAAATGGTCAGATGTAAGGGATAGATCCTTTGACAATATAGGAGGTGAGATTTCATATGAAACTGCAGAGGTGTAACTGGGGAGAGCACTGGGATGCATGCCTCAAGTGGAAGTCTGTGCCACTCATCCCAAATTTTGCAATGTGTATTATTCATATTAGCACTGGTACAAGCAATAGTCAATTTGCTTGTTGCATGTAGCTCCCCATTGAAACAATGTGTACACCCTGGGTGCCCCTTCACAAATGTCACCCTAATTTGATACGCTGCCCTGAAGCAGTAAATTGGTGCATTCCTGTTTGAAAAGAAGGGCACTTCTTGTGAACGAAGGTACTCTGTCGTTCATGGTCTCATCTGACTTGGAACTGAATACATGTAGTTGTGAACTGATCTCACGGTACAGTGTGCACAATACAATATGTACGTGTACCAATGGTACATGTACATGCACTAAGAACATCTACATGTAACAAAAGCATGGTGCAGTGACAATGGATGCTCATTGTTAGTGTGTTCTTTTGTTAAATGCTCGTAGTGATGAAGATTCAGACATCAGTGCCTCATGATTGTAGAACACTTCTTGGCATGATGCTGGTTATTGTGTAGCTCTTAAACATTTTCTGTCCGTGACTGAAATCACACTAGCATGTGTGTCCCATACGTGACATGCATGTACACGTAAACATGGTAAAGCACATCTTTGAGCAGTTTGCTTTCATGTTTTAGGTCTCTACATGAGTGAGTACAATGTGAACAAGTTATGGTTTGAAAGGAATGATATTTGTTCCTAGTTGGACTCTGTATTATTCTGTGTCTGTTGATTACAAAATTTGTGTATTTACACAAATTTTTGTGCATGTGAACACAAACTTGAATAAGCATGAGAAGTGAGGATACAGGTGACAGTGTACATGTACATGTACTTTGTTATTGTGTGTGCTTTCCTATGGTGCTCAGTGAACCATGCACAGATTCTCACTGGATTCATACATGTAGGAAAATGCACTTGGAAACAAAAATGTGCGCACATCATCAGTACATAGGACTATTCTGCAAGTGGGTTTTTGTAAGTCAAGTCACAACCTCTCGCCCTACACTTCTCCTTTGTGGTTCATAGAATGTCCATATGTCAAGGTTTCTTATTCTCACTGTACCTCAGGACCGGTTTGAGGATGACCACAAACACATGGCCTCCAAGGTGGTGCATGTCCGTGGCCTGAGTGATCGAGTGAGCGATGGGGACTTGGTGGAGGCACTCCAGTTCTTTGGGCCCATCAGGTACTAGTGCTGAGAAGGATGACATTGAGGAATAATGACATTGTGCTGACAAAAGAGCTAATTAAGTAGTTCAATTGCGCACACCCTAAGTGAAGTGCTTAGTTTGACCTTGCCTTTTTTGATGTACACAGAACCTGGCTTCTTCCATGTGGCTGTGTTAATACTGGAAAACATTAACATGCCCAAATGACGCTTATATAAGCATACTGTTGAGGATTACCCCAGGGAAATGATCATGTTCTTAGTACATGTATTATTCTATACACACATACGAGTCGAAATCAGAGTTGAATTCGAAAGGTACCGAGATAGACTTAAATGGATTTCACTTGGCTTGTTCTTACCTAAATGAACAAATGCAACTTTCTGGAACAGAATTTATTTGTCTCCATCAGTCAGAGATGTGAACAAGATATCACACTTCAAGTCTGACGCTCCTTGCCATACATGTGTGCCTGGGGTTTACTTGAGAAAAGCAGCATTCTGAAAGAATGTCATTTCCGGACTTGTTGCTTGTGGAGAGTAGCTTCACATTGTGAGGGCAGCTTGCATGACGCAAGCAGTCATACAGTAGAACCCTTGGTGAGCGTAACCTGCACAAGAACCCGCCTTGAATCTATAGCTGTAAAGCAAGCCCAGTGGTATCGGTCATAAATACTCTTCCCGAAGTCATGTAACGGCTCTAGCAGTAGCACAAGATACCAAATTTTCCATTTGCTCTCATGACTCGCTTTGATCTTCCCACAGCTATGTCTACATGATGACGGGGAAAGGCCAGGCCTTGGTGGAGTTTGAGGATATCGAGGCTGCCTCAGCTTGTGTTGACTACACCCAGGTGGGCTGTCAAGGGAATTCAAGAAACCAAATGTTGTTGGAAGTAATGCTGAGTCTGTATCAGCTTTGGGATCCAGTCTTATATCTTGACCGGTATCTTGAATGTTTATATAATTATTTAGTTGTTCCTTTGTTTATCTGCCGTAGGCTCAAACAGCGGAAGCTGTTTTTTCAGGACACTACAAGAGGAAATATGTGAATTAATCTTTACTCCGTGGAATGATTAACAGGCAACCTTTCACATCCTTGCAAATCTCAACACCATCTAGAAAACTGTGCACATAAACAGTTGGACTCTGTTTATCTATGGTGTGCCTAATCCCACATGAAACACAGCCAGTATACCAGTGCAGTACTCATCCTAACAGATGCCAACAAACCCTTGTGCTGGGGCTGGTCTGGTTTGGGATTGTTACAGTGAATAATGAAAAAAGAAAATTAGAGACAAAAAGTAAAAGCTGACCAAAATGTTGCAAAGTAATACAAGAGCTAAGAACAGACAAAGCTCAGAAACAAATGAACAATACCTGACAGTGAAAAGTGTGACCAGAATAAAATAAAACATGGCGCAAATATGAAATACAGATGGTAGAATGTGACTGAGATGCTAAAGTACAGAGAAATTTAGATGTACTAATATCCATTCCCCAGATTACTGAAGTTAAAAGCATGGAGACAAGCAAACCGACTTTGTACCACAAACTCAAATAACACTCAAAACTAAACACCTAACCTGATAAGCTTAGAACTCCAAAAAATGAGAATATTTGAGCTGAAAGTAAAAGATAACAGTGCTAAAAATCATATCAAAAGGGAGAATTGAAAATGTAAAAGTAATTAGCATCTGTCTTATGAAAAGGAAGAGAGTGCTTGACTCCGAGTTGGGCAGGGAGACAGTAATAAATGTTTGCACCACCGACCGAATGAAAGCTATGAGATTGGTACTCTGCTTTGGAGTTGGGAATCTTCAAAGTAGTAGTTGTATTGTGTCTTATGATTCGGTATTTGTAAAAACAGAATAGATCTGTCATGCTGGGAGCTGTAGGGTTTAATCCCCTGAAAACAAGTAGTCCTTCCACATCAATTTGAGCCTATTTTGTAGTGCAAGCATATCAGCAGCCAAAGTAATAGAATTTTTTAAGTATATTGTGGCATGCATATTCGCCTCCCCATATCATGCAGCAGCAGTTGAGGGTAGGAAAGAGTGTTCACAAGACAAGCGTGCAGAGGTCCAAACCATCCTCCATAATCTTTCAAGATTAAATTCATTTCCGGAGTGAGAGACCAAACATTTATATAAACTTATATTGAAAAAGTTGACCTAAAATTAATTTTTACTTAAACATATTAGAAAGTTTAGTGTATGCATTTTACTTTGTTCACATACAATTATGTGTTGTTAGCTATACCGAGTACGTATGGTACATTTTTTTGCACTTGATGGTTTCACTCAGCAAAGGTCTTTGCTAAAGAGAATCTGTGTACAGCTGTAGAGTTGGTTTAGACATTTAAAGGCTTTGTGAAATTTTTGCTATATATTTGCCAAATTAAACATGACTTTCCCACTCTTGGAATCCATTGATAATAATGTTTGTCTTGTGACAGAACCACCCTGAGAATGTGATCAACGTAGCTGGCTCCCCGGCCGTGATCAGCTTCTCCAACAGCAAACGTATCAAGAGACCAGGGTAAGGCAGTTGACTCTAAGGCCAGTTGAAGGTTTACTGTGCCTAACAAGATGGGTATGGGAGGTCAAGCTGTCTAAAGTGACTGTATCTTTCTACAGGATTCAATTAGTGGTTTCTTCAACTAAATGTAGATAAATTTCCATCAGGATGTACTCCAAATTCGTTTTTAGGAGGGTATGTTTTGGATTTTTCAAAAGCTTTTCTAGGCTGTAGGACTTGCCCAGACACAAGTGTGTGACGTGTGCTGGACTTAGAAGCCGATTAACTTGGAATTGCTTCTGTTTCTTTGTGTAAGATATGAAAGTCTTTGCTTTGGGCAGTGTTTCTCTTGACTGTCTTCCTTTCCTGAGTGTCATTGCAGCCGATGGGACTAACTCCCCCAATAAACTGAAAATCTTGCTTTGGTTGAAGTGAAAGTGTTTTCACTTCTTGATTGACAGGGAGAATGCTCCAGATATGCCCGAGGAAGTCCCCAACAGGGTCATCTTACTGACGGTGCATAATCCATTCTATTCCATCACCACGGTAAGTCAGAAAAAGGAGGAAATTTGAAAAGCCTGGACAAAAAATTTGGCAGTGTGGCAAGCTGATAACATGATACTGTACATATTAATATGGGGCCAATTGGTACTCCCCCAATGTCCAATCCCTTGTACACACTCTAGACTATTGTTACC